TTTGCAGTGCGCATTAATGTTTAGCATAAATATATTTTTCAGGTTATGTTGTACATTTCTGAAAGATTTTTGTCATGTAAATTGTGAAAAGAGCACAAAACAGCTTAACGAAACGCTTGGTAAGGTCTTTGAAAGTATATTTCTGAGCTATCAAGGAGCTTAATATGTCTCCTAGCTAACTTTAAAAATCTAGAAAAAAAAACTTAAATAACTCCATTTGAAATCTAGCTTGTAGTACTAGAATAAAGAGAAAACGGTACTTTTTCGAATTTCTGTAGAATATTTTCTAACCTTCTGAAATGGTGCTCCGAAAGTTATCTGATATATGTCAATGCTGATTTCATCTTGAAAATGTTTTGTAAGGTTAGGTACCTTCAATAAAAATTATGTTCCTTTTATTTAAGTTAGTTTCAACGGCCTCTAAAAGGAAACCTAGCCTAATGGGTATAACTTTCGTTCTCAATGAGGGAAAATACTTGGAAATGACACATCTATATGCTGACTGACTTCATACTAACCGTAAAGTTAAAATATAAGTTCGGTTCGCTTTAGAATTCGTCTTCGGAGGTATAAACGCTGGATTTTAGTTATGGTATACAGTATATAACCAAATGTAGGTTAATTTTAAAGAAGAAATTTAACTAAGCACCAGTTCTTTGATCATTTCCGCAATTAATTTATATATTCCGTAGTATTCAGAGAGAAATAGAGAGGTAGGTAACTCGATAGCCAAGACTAAGTCTGTTGTCACCGATCTTTCTTGAAAGACAACTATAAAAAAGAATATTAAAGAAATGCACGGTTTTCCTGTCAGCATGAAATGATTTTATAAAAAGCAAACAATAAAAAAAGAAAGAAACTTAATTGTTAAGTGAGTTCAAATGTTGTTTATATAATGCAAAGCACAGTCCATACAATTAAGTTCTCATTTTAAAATTATTCAAATAACTTCCACGACTTTTTTTGTAGAAATGAATTCACTGAACTCTTTTTTACCGAGTGCCTTTTCCTTTTCCTTTTTTTCCTTTTTTTTTCATTATTGACTTTTGAAACTTGAAGAGAGTGTGGTTTATTGCTAAAGATGAATGACTTCAAATAATCCCCCAAAAATTAGTCTAATTATGTCAAATAACAACTTCTTGGAGACAATTCAAAGTCACAATTTCTTGAAATAATCAAATCTAAGAACTTTTCTTGAAATAATTCGGTTATTGCACGTGCTGTGTGGCACGTATCACCGTCTTGTTGAAATCAGATGTTGTCAAAATTAACATTTTCAATAGCGGCCATAAAAAGTAGGTTATTATAGATCTATACCGCTCTCCATTGACAATAACGGTGTCAGCAGCGTAATTTCGAACGACGTACAAACCGATGATTTTACCAGACAAAAAATCATACCAAACTGTCAATTTAGGTGAATATAATAGTTTTCCATTAATAGTTTCTGGATTTTTTTCGCTCCAGAATCGACAGTTTTTTTTTTTTTTTTTTTTTTTTATTTACCGCAGCGCTCAGATGAAAGAGAGCCTCATCAAAGATGACTTTCTTAAAAATATCATTAACGTTTTCAAGTTGTTCCATAGAAAATCGGCAATTTCGCGCCGTGTACGGTAGTCCAACAGCTGCGGTTCTTAATTGGCAATATTTTTTTAAATTTTTATTGAGATACAATCCCAAATTTATTCTCAAAATCCGTCAGTTTGTAGGTTGAGACAGTCCCAATTCTCGAGAACATTTTGAAATCGACAAATTGCGGTCTGCAGCAACTCTTGCCTGAACGGCAGCAATATTTTCATTACTTTTTTGCTATATTGGCTCTTAAACATTATCTCAAGAAACTATATGTTCGAAATTTTCGATAACTTGACGAATAACGAGCACAGGTAGGTGATTGCTACGAATATATAATGGCAAAAGTTTTAATTGCTGTTGTAAATATTACTATATATGATAATAATGACATATTAAAATAACAAAAAAGACACTTAGAAATCATATCATCGTTAATGAAAATGTTACCTTTCTTTTTGTAATAACAGACATACTTCAACTTCTAGGTTCAGCTTCATCATTTTTAAGGCGACTAAAATTTTTAAAATAAATATAGTTTTAAAAACAATATTATTAGTTAAAAGTCTACTAGAGACTGCAATTAGCAAGACAATAATTACAGTGTTAAAGAAAATGCGATGATAAAATCTTTTTTCACATTGAGCCTCCAAAAAGCCTGACTGTGTCGTCAGACACCTACCTAAATCAAATTTATTAAAACCTGTTTAAGAAGAATCAAATGTACAAAAAATATATGATAATCTTATGATTTTTTTTTGCAACGCGCTGAAAGGTATGCAATATTTACTAAGTCTTACTTCACTCATGGATTTTAAATAATTGTATTAGAGAGAAATTAATAAGGGTATGTCTTCTACAATTTTTTTTGCAACCAAGTAAAACTTAATCGACTATAAATAAAATGAGCAATATCATCATTTAATAAAAAAATATATTTGGCAAAACACCAAAAATATTAGCACACATACATATATACGAACAGTCACGCAGCAGTAACACAGAAGCCTAGATGGCAATTTAGCCAACAGGATGCACGAAAAGGGCTTGCCAAAAATCTGGCGGCTTACCCTCGGCTTCGCGCAATTCGCCGCAAGTAGCGTTCACTTTCGCTATCAAACAGCGAATGACACAGAAAATAAATTTTCGTAACTGTAAACCTTCATGTACATACAAAGGTATGTGAGGGCTCGGGCATATGTGCACGCGTTTTACGCCTCAATGGATATTAAGTGTTGAGCAACAGACTAGCCACAATGTTGCTGCAACATTGGGGCGAAAGCGAAATAGCTGTTTGTTGATAAGCGATTAACTCACCACGCTTTAGGAATAAATCCGGTATGCAGCTAAGGGGCATTTGAAGCGAATTTTAGGGGTAGTTTGGCGCTTGCGCACGCATTCGTATGAGTTTATGAGCAGCTGAGCCGAGCAATGCAGAGCGAGCAGAGAGCATGTGATAGAGAGTCGCTTGACTTATTAATTGTAAAGAGTGGTAAAGGTGTATACAACTGGTTTTCGAAAAGGTCGAAATTCTCGAACGAGTCATGAAAAAATGGATCAGATTGACCATTTTAGATATAGCTGCGACCAAAATTTGAGAGAGACAATCTTCAAAAAATAAATGACAAAGAATTTTCTTTTGAATGGTAATGAACATTACCCATCAAGTTTGCAGTTTCTGTATTTAGGGAATCTAGAACTGGATCTGTGTTGTATAGTGTCTCCGTCATTTTCTTCTATTATATATAGATTCCCGAGTTTAGAAGTTAGGAGCCTAAGTTCATGTGGTCTTTATTACAGCTGCTTTGAATCAAACATTTCGAGGTTTCCACTAATCAATATTTACGTACACTTTTTTCGATCGTTGAGAGCCGTAGAAAATAATACATTTGCAAAAGAACAGGCGGTTCAAGTCATCAGCTCATAGATGTCGCCCATAGGTAAATGACTATAAAAGGCGTTCTTGGACTTTAGAGAATCTGGGTTTCTAACTGAATATGTGTCTGACCATACGTACTCCTCGCTAGCTTAGACTAAAGGAATTCCCTTTCAACTTTAATTTCGACTATTGTAGTTTTCTCAAGCCGAGGCTTTTGCTGGTAGCAATAGGCTTACTGCTCCGAAGTTCAGCCTCATTCAGAAATCATGCCATCAAGTCTGATAGCTGGGCGTGGAAACTAACCTCTTAATTAATGACATCGATTAATTTTGTGATAAGTCTAATATAGGCACCAGACTACATTGAAATCGTAGGTAACTGTAAAGCCTATGAGATGGCAATGAAAGGCAATCTTGCTCCGCTGTGAGGAAAATGTTAGCGGGCCGTGCCTCTCCTCCTGAGTTCTACTACCGGATTGCTATGTTCCAAAGGTTCTTGGTCATAGCTGGCCTGCCATCGGTCGAAGGAACCTTTTGTCCTGATGTTGATCTGAAAAGATCTATTAAGCAGCTTTTCTTCAGTAGCAGCTGCCTTTCAGTTCAGTGCCTCTCCCTAGTTGTGGGGATTCTAGCACATTATTGGTATATTGGATGGCAGCTGTAGATTCAGCGTGTAAGACGATGAGCCAGCATATCAAAACTTCCTACCTGGTTGTTTCGCGTTCGCTAGATTATGTCTTTAACATTAATAGAAACTAGTAATAAAAGAAATTAAGTTTGTAGTCCTCAACAAGACGCTTTACCAAGCAATAAGATCGGTTACAGTAGTTCAGGTGCAAACCTTAGTCCAACGATCGAATTTATCTTAACCTAAAAACACGTCTAAGTACATATGACCTTAAATACCACTTGTTTACATTTTCCAATTCATTCTTTAATCAGTAATCAGTGTTCTATACAGCACTTAGGACTGCTTTCGTAATTCAAATCGCCCACACATTTAAACAACTCAAGAAACTCTTAACTGCCCGAACCAATATTCTCTTACTTTAAACACTGCTCTAAAAATTGTGAACGAATTCGCCGCAATAGGAGAGCAACACTTCGTGACGTTGTCCATTGAGCGCGCTCAATATTTATTGCCGCACGTTCTACTTATCAATTTACTGGTTCCCTACTAGTGCTGCGAACGACCCCTTTCACAATATCAAAGCGCGCTGACGACTGGCTTCACAGCAAAGAGCGCCAGCACAGTGCGTTTCGGCGAATTCACGAATACAACAACGAACCTCAGCGATAGCCCGGTAAACGAACCGCCTGATATTAAATAACGACTATGGGCAACGGTGGTAACGAGGCATATACTGCTAAGCTAAAGAAGCGAGTGCATACACGAAGTGTGTATACGGCGTATTTGACGAAGTCTGCTCGTCTAGTTGGAATTTCAGTTGGTTTAAAGGAGTAAAAGCAAAAACGTTTAGTTTGAAGTGAACTATTCGGCAATGTTGACATGTTGAGCGCGTTAATGCTGTAACGGTATATGGACAGATTTTTATTTGAAGCAGCAGCAGCAAGTTGTTGTAGCAGAGTTTGTTGTGAAAATTATTGATATATAACAAAGAAAATTGTAATTGATAATTTTAATATAAATAACCAAAGTGTTTAACCAAAGTGAAACTTATTTTAATAAAAATGTAAAAATAAATAAAAGGAACCGTGTGTGTTAAAGGTATTGTTGCGCGATCATAAACACGTGTTGGATAATTGTAGTGCTCTATTTTGAGCACGTATAGAATAATTGATACACGCTTTTAGGCGCACAGTCTGTGAGTGTGAAACTGAAAGAAATTAGAAACAAAACTTCCTGAAATTAAAGTGGCAAATAGTTGTTGCAATCAAAGGGCAGGTTTGTAGCAAGCAATTCACTCAGCAATCAAGCGTTTATTTGATTTTAGAAATTACGCGCCTATTTATAACTAGCATATATTCAGGCGCAAGAGTGAGTAGCTGCGTTAACAAACATATTTAAAGGTTAACAGCTTTTGTTTGACAATTACTATAACAACATTTCGCTAAGTGAAGGTTTTCGCTTATTTTCATCATCTGTTCTTACTCACTCATTTCGTTTGTCTGTATGTAAGCGCGAAAACGCCTTCGAGCTTAAACGTCGCAGCTAATACGGGATTAAGCATAGTGTAGAAGACGATCGGTAAGACAGCAGTTGAAACAAATGCAAAGCGTATACAAGCAAACAATCAATAAATTTGTTGCAACACATGCCAAATACCTGCCACCAAGGGAATGTGTGTGTGGCAAACTCAAATTGAAAATCGAATCTCATTTGCAAAAGTGTGCCTATAATAACAAAGTGTATTGCACCTTAAGTGAATAATTGATGAGTCAGGAATCAAATCAGTCTAATTTACATTTCCAAAAAGGAAGTCACACTTCGGCTCACAGCCAGCAACATAACACTGTGTACATTGTTTCACGTCTAGTACACCCGGGAGTGTCGTGCAGCTCGTTCATTTATAAGAAACCTCTCTCTGCACTCTAAAACCGTAACATTGTGTGTGCGCTACAAATAAACAGGCTAGCACCTCCGCTGTATTGTGCTTTTGCGCCCAAAAGTTTATGCCACGATGTGAAGTAAAATTTGAGGCAAGAAGCTGGCAGTTAAACAACAGTGAAAAGTTTCTGCAATTTGGGCGCCGTGCTATAAAAGTAAGTAAATAAGCAGTTGTGTAAGGACATCAAGCCATAATGGCTGGCTAATATAAAATGTAGCATACCTCTAGGAGTGCAAAGAAAAACTCATTTACTTTTTTCAATAAACATGCTTTAATTAAGTGTAAAGAAAATTTGTCGAGACAAGTTTGGCGTATATTTGGAAATGCCAAATTTAGTTCATCTGGGAGCTCTTGAGTTTTAAGACAACATTACATTTAAACGGTGTTGGTCGAAGTAAATGTTTTTTGTACAGAGGTGGTCGAACTAGCGATTTTTGCATTTTTAGAAATTTGATATTTGTGAAAACCAAATTTTGAGAATTATTTTTTAAGCTTTTCGCCCTTAATTTAAGTTTTCGAGAAATTCCAAATTCAGCTTACCGATATTGAATATTCTTATCGTCACCTGAAATGCAAAATAACGTATCATCAAAAACCAAACAAAAAAAAAAAAAAACGATTGACATTTTTATTGCTTACGATTCACTACATCATATTACATCCATGTAGCATAAAAATTTCAGCTTCTGCTGTCAGATTATAACCAATATATAACCCATATATAACCACTATATCACCACCAGATAAGCATTATATAGCCATTCTATAACCAAAATTCAAATTTTGTTTCAATATGAATGGCGTTATATACGTACGTTCCAACGTTCTTCCTTCCCCTGTAAACTTATGAAAAGTGATTCGTTATTTTGGTTTTTAGGTGGCGACATAGTGTTTTAGGTTACCTAAGAAGTCTGAGGATCACTCCGGTCAAGCCACGATTATTGCTTCAAGCTATTATGGTAATGTTTTGTATTACTACAACAATAACAAGCAAGTTACCTGTTTACATATTTTGAAGCCAAACCACTAGTGATATGTTTAAAATTTTTTTCTTCATACCTCTGGCACTCGTGTCTTTATAACGCTTCTTTTATAAGAATTTTTAAATGAATTTTTCAATTCTATGAATTTATGTGATCTTTCAAAATTACATATAAGTTATAAGCTTTTTAAAGTTTTAAAGGAGATAACAGTGTTAGAATAAGGCATACTGTCCTCAAAATCCAGGTTCCTAAACCCAGAAGTGTGAGCTCTATTCTTATAGCACATCGTTGTTTGTAAGATGAATACATCTGAATTTTTGTTTTCTATAAGTTTTAAAGTACTCAAAATGTATTATTTAATATTTATTAATTTCTCTGCAAAATAAGATTATGTCTTCAGTTGAAAACTGCGTTTTTAATGCTTTTATTTCACACTTTACGCAACTCCTGTATTTATGCATACTATTCTCACCCAAAAACAAAAAAAAAACTCTTCTCGCCCACCGCCTTTACCGAAAATCGACATTATCAAATCTTCATATTCCTTCCTTCCTACTTTAACCCACAACACGCTGCCTTTCTAGCAGCTGACCCAAACTTAGCTTGCCCCATCCACAACTCGCGAGCCAGCAGTTCAACTGCCTTTAGTATTATATGCCTCGCCGTTAGTCCCCATCTTTATTTATGCCATTTCAATTTATTTTAGGGACGCCCAATGCCTGTTTTCACTTAAATTTTTCTATGCTTTCTTATTATTTCTTTGTTTTGTTTTTTGTAGTGCTTTTCTTGGGCATTCCATTTTGTGCTGGTTTAATGTTGTCAACCATTTCGCCAGAAATTGACAGCTTAAATTCCATTAGGATGCTTTTCTTTGCTTGCCATTCGCTCGCTCATTCACTTATCTCTCGTATAGCATGGGCTTTGGTTGGATGTGTGCGCCCAAATGTATGCTATGAGTAAAGTGAATGTGTGCTCGTGTGGCTGGGACAACGCCACTTCAAGTGAGGCAGAGCGCGTCGCTATACTGCCAACCAAAGGCTAATGGCGGTGGCATCACTAACAATAACAACAACGAGATTACCAATAACAAAAGCAACAGCAGCTTCAGCATTGGCAGCACTTTTCCCACTTGATTGATAATCAATTGATGGGATTTCGGTCAACTACGCTGCGAGTGTATGTGCTTATTGCTGTTGTTGTTTTGTTTTTGCGGTCAGATTAGTGGCATATGATGCCATTTACACTGACTATCCAAGCATCAATGCCGATTGAAGAAATCGCCGGCTCCTCACTTGGCCTTGTTAATGGTTGTTTTTGTTGTCTTAATTTTTTGTTGTTGTGTTTGCTATTTTTATGTATATTTTTTCATACTTATCTAGCATTTTATAAGCTTGTAGTCGCTCACATGGCTGAAGCGTGCCGTCGTGTTGATGCCACAAGTGCCGCTGCCACATTAAAATGGTTAAACAAATTTCGTAACGGCGTTTTTTTTTTTTTTTTGTGGATTCAGTATTTTCTTATTTTATTTTTTGGTTTTTTTTTCCCCCTTCAATTTACTATTTTTATTTATTTCTGCCTCTTCCTCAACAGCGCGTTGAAGGTTCGATGTGCCTCTTTGCTTAACGCCAGCTTTGTTTTGGTGCGACTTTGTTTCCGCTTCGCCATTGTTGCTGGTGCAATACTAATGTTATTATTTGTTGTAATTGGATTAAATTAAGATTGATTGATACTTTCGTCGTGTGTGCTGAATATATCACACCGTGTAATAGGGAAAGTGAAATGTATGCCAGCCCATCAGCGGCATTAGCGCTCTTGTTTATAAATGAACATGTGCAACCACACACACACAAGCATACAAATAAAGTCACACATACGCATATACGTGCTTATTATAAGCAACAAATGTATTGAGCTAACTAAATTGAATTGTATTGATATAAAGAGAGACCGTGTGTGAGCCGATAGTATCTGCCTCGTAAATGAATTCATTGGTGGCAACGTACTTAATCACATATACACACATTTATATCGATATCGGATGCGTTCTTTTAGTTAAACAAGTACATATTGGTTGTCATTAATATTGTTGAGAGACATACCACTCGAGCTTACCACACAACGACGTAATTACAGTTAAGCCGGGAAGACATTGTTATTTTAATCACATATTTGTATGTATATGTGTACATATATATTTTCTGTGGTTTTGTGTTGATTCAGCTATAAATATGTGCTTATTTAATATGTATAACTTATTAAACATTTGTATTGCTATTGTTTTTGCCCGAAACTCTTGCTCATCGCTTAACCAAGTCGAGTGTGCTTAGAAATCGTTGCATTGCTGCGCAATTTCAAGGCCATTATTTGTTTTTCCTAAAACAAAACAACACAAAAAAAAAAAAAATACAAATCAAATATTTATTGTGTGATAATTTGGTGGCGCATATATTGAAAGGCAGCTAATAAAGAAAATATCACAAGAGGAAAGCATTAACTGCTTCACTATAGTTATCAATAATACAAGGCGACTTGTTTGATAAGTTCTTCAGGACATAAGTGTCATTGTGTTTGATAAATTATTGTTCATCGGTATTAGAAACGATAGATATGAGTTAAACTTATGATAATTAATCGATGGGTGCTTTTCTTAACTTTTTTCTTATATTTGAAATTTAGCTAAAGCTGACTGCATAAATGGAAAGAAGAGGATTATTAGAATATAGAATTACAGAAACTACCATTCATATGCAAGATGACACGTTCTCCACCCTAACTTAGTTTATGGAGTTTTTGAGTGAATAGTAGAGGCTGGTGAGGCATGCATAACTATCTAAAGAAATTTTTATACAATGAAACTTACAATATTAAATGAGTTGTTACGCAGTGATCTTCGTGTTATGCTTGGTCATGTAGGTGTACTAAGCTCAAATCTATATAGTATCCACTCTTTGAAGGCTAAGCTGTCGATGTTTCTCTGTCCACAGAACAGTGTATATTAAGTTTGTGGAAAGAAACATAGGAGACTTTATAAAATATATAAATCAATCTTCAGCATGACGAGCTAAGTTGATTTAGCCAAACCCGTTTCACTGCCTGTCAGTATAACTATACGCGAACTGGTTTATCAGTTTTTGAGATGTTGATCCACGTCTTTTTCTCTCCACGAATCTACTCATTTGACGCCACCTCCGTTCTGAATCATCAGATTCAAGCGCTTGCATGGATTCTTATTTTACGAGATATCTTCACGAAATTTGGTACGAGTTATTATCTAAAGCAAACACAAAATCTCCGAAGAAATTGCTAAAATCGTATCACTATAGCATATAGCTGCCACGTAAACAGAACAATTTGAGTCAAGTGTTTTTGAAGGACCTTTTATATTCTCTAAATACATCTGAAGACGAATTCGAGCAATAAGTTCGCATTGAGAGCGGAAATTTGAAAATCTGCCGCTGACATCTGAAAAATTCCTAAAGAAAAATTATTGAAAATATGTATTGTACATATATTATATGTATTATATTTTCAATAGTTTTTTCTCAGCAATTTTTCAAGATATTGCTGAAAAATGACGGCCGCTTTATGTCTATTAAAAATTTTTAAGTAGGTTCTTTGTGGCCTCTATAGTTGTGTCTACTTGAAATTATAAGTTTCAGAAGAATTTGCTATATATCTTAACCAGGGATGGATAATCACTCAACAAGTATTATTAAGAAAATTTTATTGAACTAAATTGAACTAAAGTATTTTGCTTTTAGTAAGAAAGTATTCCACTGGGATTTTTAATTATCTTTTTTATCAGACTTAGTTTAGTAACAAAATTTGTATATGCATTTACTCATGAGAACTCTTGCCGTCCGAATGATCATGAACTAGACGAAGAACTGGTATTTCTTATATAAATACTTTAACTCTTCAGCTTATTAAGGGGTTACATAAATCGCCGAACAAAAAATTACCTATTTTCGAAAACTTTTTTTCTCATATAAAAATATTTCGAAAAAAAAAAAATTCGAAACTCGGTCATAAGGATGACATACCCGGTAATATCTAGGAAAAAAGTTGACTTCGCGTTAACAATAGAACATTTTTACGATCTTCAAAAGTAAAAATGGAAAAAATATGTGATTCAACTAAGTTCATAAACTAGTAAAGGAAAAACAAAAAA